GGGCTCTGCCCGAGGGCATCGCCGCCCTCCGCCGCCTCAAGATCCTCTGGCTGAGCGGCACCGGGCTGGCAGCCCTGCCCGAGGGCCTGTGCCAGCTGAGCGCCCTCGAGAGCCTGATGCTGGACGGCCCTCCCCAGCAGGCCCTGCCCGCCGGCTTCGGCAACTTGCAGCGGCTCAAGATGCTGAATCTCTCCTCCAATCTGCTGGGGGAGTTCCCTGCTGCCATCTTGGCACTGCCCAGTCTGGAGGAGCTCTACCTGAGCCGCAACCAGCTCACCCTGCTGCCCCCTCACCTCTGCCAGCTCCGTCAACTTCGCACCCTCTGGCTTGATAACAACCGCATCCGCTACCTGCCTGACTCCATCGTCCTCCTCCACAGCCTGGAGGAGCTGGTTCTGCAAGGCAACCAGATTGCCATCCTGCCCGAGGGCTTCGGGCAGCTCTCCCGTGTCACCCTGTGGAAGATCAAAGACAACCCCCTCATCCAGCCCCCCTATGAGGTGTGCATGAAGGGCATCCCCTACATTGCAGCCTACCAGCAGGAGCTGGCCCACTCCCAACCTGCCCTCAAACCCCGCCTCAAGCTGGTCCTCATGGGCCTAAAGGATGCAGGAAAGACCCTACTGAGACGATGCCTCATGGAGGAGGATGGGCAGAGGGAGGATATGGGAAGTCTGGTGACAGGGAGCACCCAGCCCAGAGTGTGCCCTGGGCAGCAGCAGGACCTGGGGAGAGTGCCAGTTGGGTGTTGCGCCTTCCCAGAGCCTCAGGACTCTTCCTCAGTGCAGGTACCTGTCATTCAGCAGCTGGAACATCTCCCTGCTGAGTGGCAGGACTTCCCTTCTCACATGCCCTCTCACAGGGTAAAAGGGGAAACGCTGCGTCCTACACCATCGCTGTCACTGAGTCCCCCACAGGTACCTTCAGGACTGGGACTGCTGGGGGGCAGCAAGGGCATTGAGGTGATGGACTGGACAGCAGATGCAGAGCGAGGCCTGACATTCATTGTGTATGAGCTGGCGGGGGACCCAAACTATGATGTGATCCAGTCTTTCTTCCTCTCTCCTGGAGCCCTGTATGTGCTGGTGGTGAATTTGAGTGCCTACGTCCCTCAGCACTTCTACCCCTCTGTGGGCTATTTCTTGCACTGGCTAGGTTCCAAGGTGCCCCATGCTGTTGTGTGTATGGTGGGAACCCATGCTGACCTCTGTGCAGAGCGGGAATTGGAAGAGAAGTGCCTGGACATCCATCACCAGATCGCTCAGCAGGAGAAAAGGGATGCTGAGGGACTCCAGAGCTTGGTCCAACAGGTAGATGAGGCTCTGGGACAGGACTTTGACCTGCGCTGCTCCAGCCCGCACACTGCCTTTTATGGGGTCTCAGACAAGAACTTGAGACGGAAAAAAGCCCAGTTTCAGTACCTTCTCAACCACCGCCCACAAATCCTCTCTCCAGTGCTGCCTTTCAGCTGCCGGGACCGTTGCCAAGTGCGTCGCTTGCGGGACAAGCTCCTTTCGGTGGCTGAGCACCGGGATATCTTCCCGAACCTGCACCGGGTTTTGCCCAGATCCTGGCAAGTGCTGGAGGAGCTGCACTTCCAACCACAGGCTCAGCAGCTGTGGCTTAGCTGGTGGGACTCTGCCCGGTTGGGCTTGCAGGCGGGCCTGACAGAAGATCGACTCCAGAGCGCCCTGTCCTACCTACACGAGAGTGGGAAGCTGCTCTACTTCGAGGAGCACCTCACCTTGCGGGAGTATGTGTTCCACAACCTGCCGCGGCTCATTGACATCCTCAATGTCTTTTGCCAGTGGGATGCAACAGTGCTGCTCCAGAAACTGCTTAGTGACACCCACATTGACGAACTGAGGGCCACTCAGCTCCATCACTATGTGGAGGGCTTCTTGCTGCATGGCCTCCTCCCTGCCCACGTTATCCGTCTCCTCCTTAAGCCCCACGTCCAGAGCCGGGAGGATCTGCAGCTCATCCTGGAGTTGCTGGAGAAGATGGGGCTCTGTTACTGTGTCAACAAACCCAAATGTAAGCCCCTAAATGGGGCAGCTGCTTGGTACAAGTTTCCCTGCTACGTAAAAAACGAGGTGCCCCATGCAGAGGCATGGATCAACGGTGTCAATCTGAGTGGACAGTCCTTTGTGGTCGAGCAGCTGCAGATTGAGTACAGCTTTCCATTCATTTTCCCACCTGGCTTGTTTGCACGCTACAGCGTCCAGATTAACAGCCACGTGGTTCAGCGGTCAGATGGCAAATACCAGATCTATGCCTACCGGGGAAAGGTGCCCGTGGTGGTGAGTTACCGGCCTGCCAGGGGAGCTCTGCAGCCAGATACTCTGTCTATCGCTAGTCATGCATCCCTACCAAATATCTGGACAGCTTGGCAAGCTATTACCCCATTAGTGGAAGAACTGAATGTCCTGCTCCAGGAATGGCCAGGCCTGTACTACACTGTGCACGTCCTCTGTTCAAAGTGCCTTAAAAGAGGGTCACCCAACCCACACACTTTTCCAGGTAAGGCACAGCCCCACTTGCCATTCATCTCTTCTGGAGGTTTGCCCCTTCTAGAAGGGAGTTTTACAATGTTAGTCTTAGCTCTGTCTCTTATTTTTTCGTTTCTTGGGTTTTGGGGGTTTTTTTGGGTTTTGTTGGTTAGTTGTTTTGTTTGCTTGTGGGTTTTTAAAAATATTATTATTATTATTAGTTTTTCCTTTTTCTTCTCTGCTTTAACTCACTAACCCTGGTGATTTGAGTCATGAGAGAAAACACTAGGGTAGCTCCAAGGAGACAGGTTTAAAATAGCCCTATTCTGAGATGAGAGGGGTGTTGCATCCCCCTTTGTCTGTACCTTTTCTCTTTGGTTTTTGGGTTTTGGTTCTGAGCATTGATAATGCCATTATTGACAAGGCCCTGACCTGTCCTCCTTTTTTGATTCTTTTGAATGGCACTGTGTTCTACTAATTCCCTTTACCCTCCAGCTCCCCTTTCTGGGGGCTATTCCTAAATGCAGATAGAGATGCCTGAAGGACTGCAGGTGTCCCATCCTCTCTGCTTCCACCCTCCATCTCCAGAACCTGTCCTGTGCTGCAGCCTCTGAATGCAGGAAAGCTCCTGCTGGTAGACAATGGGTGTGTTGGTCTGTATAAAAGTAAGTGCTTTCTCGGATCTGAGCCTTCTCTGTAGCAGGAAGCATTCTTCCCTGAAGAGAGAAGGATACTCCATCTTCTTTGTTTTAAGTGTCTCACCTAGCAGTGATTCCCAGACTGTGCCTCTTGGAGCTATTGAGAGCAATTATTTTCCTTCCTTGCTCCCCCTTCATCTAACGAAAAAAGCATAATCTCCTCTGGAATATGAGTTGTGGTGCTTTTTAAAGCTGTTGCTCTCAAGTCATGGTTTTATCTGTGGTGTTTTCCAGCAGCATCTGTTTTATTTTTTATGTGAGAAGGTACTGGGTCCTAACCTGTGTCCTCCATGCTCCGCTGGGTTTGCTCTGGGGTTTGTGAAGGCCATGGAAAAGGTGCTTTGGTGTGTAAATCTTAATTAAATCAAAATGCACTGTGAGCTGTAAGTAGTGCTGTAGAAACTTGCTTTTTTAATGGATACACACATACACCCATACTGGAAGTATGTCGGAGCATTCTTTATTTTATAGGTTGCATTAATTTGTGAAAGAGCTGGAGTATTATTTGAGTTAAAGCAAGCAGTGGTGCTGAATTAATTCATAGGCAAATGTGAATAATGAGTGTTTGGGGGACTTGCTTTGGTTGGTTTCTGGAGGGGTTGGGTTTTTTGTGGTTTTTTTGCTTGGTTGTTTTTTTTTCTCCTCTGGACCTTGAAAATAAGGAGATGATGTTTGCCCGCATCGTTGATTGCATCTCCCTCTCGCTGTGCTGGCTTATGTAAGAGCCATTGGGCTGAGGGGCAAACCCATGCTGTGAGAGCTGCTGAGTGGTATCCACATGCTGGGTCTTGCTCCCCACATGGTGCTTGGGACAATGTGATCTGCTGTCCAGGTAACCTCAAAGACTAAAAAACCACAACCCTTAAAAAAAAACACACAAAAAAACCAAACACAAAAAATAAGCCAATACCAACAACCAACCAAAACACCCACTGTAACCTGCCAGGACATCAAACTATGTGCAGGTGTGACGGGTGGATATTGAAGGTTTACCTTGTGAATAATTCAGATCTGCCGTCACATTTTTTGTGGCTGATTATTTTTTTCACTGATGAGTAGATGATGCTTTCAAAGTGAAATGTGAAGAGGAGCAGGACTGTCTGCAGATGATCGGCATCTTTGCTGACTGGTGCCAGTCAAAGTAGGTCTGGAAGCATAAGGGGAGCATGGAAATTGAAGGGCCTTTTTGTCTGGATTTGACTGTGCCATACATGTTTCTTTAGAGGCAGAAAAGGATTTCTCTTACCTGGGAGCCAGGGTGGGTGTACTGGGAAGGGAAGGCTCAGGTAAGCAGTGCATCCTTGGGCATGGGAGGAGTGGGGGCTTGCGTGCCAGGCATCAAAATGTCACCTTGGTGATGCTGCCTGTGGAAAGGGAGTTGCAGTGTTTCCAGACCTTTCCAGGGGAGAAGCTGGGCCTTGCTGCCAGGAGCACAGGGCTTAGCATCCAAAGTGCCTCTGTCCTGGGCCATGGGGTGAATGTCTTAACACGAAAGCTATCCAAGTCTAGCTGGGGAAAGAGCATGTTGAGAAGGCAGATATGTTTCAAAGGCAGGGCTGATTTGTGGAAGTTCTGAAGAGTGATTAGAAGCTGCAATTAGTGGAGACGCTTGCTTGTCTTTTTGGATGATGCTTAAATCTAGCCCAGCTATGACTTGGGTTGTATGAAAAAATGTAAACCATCATTTGGCTTGAGGAGGCCTGTATGTGTGCATTTAATCTAAAATATTCTTTGCTGTGTGTCTGCTCTGTGAATAAAAGACTGCTTAGGAGCCCCTAAATGGCAATCGTGAAGCTGAAGACTTTTTTTTTTTCCGCTGATTTTGTTGATCAGGAGGCATGTGTGTTTAAAGTTGTGCTGCCAAGCTTGCTCTTGTGCGAGTGAATTGTTGTTGGCATAATTTTTAATGGAGTGTAGGAAAGAGATGGGTCTAATGTTATGAAAATATGTAGCGAGGGAGATGTCTGTTTATTTCCAAACTCTTCCAGTGGAAATCCCTGGCAATTACAATGCTGATAATTCTTGCATAGGGCTGTGGTCTTTTTAGGACTGCACTGAAGAACTGCTTTGCAGCTTGTTGACCTTAATAAGGGAAATATTTCTGTGGAGACGCTGCCAAATTTGTGCTCAAAAATGGAAGTGCAGTCTGGCTATGTGTCTGGTTGCACAATCTGTGTCGTCATTCATTAAACCAATGGTGCATTCTTTGGTTATCCAAAATTTTCATTGGAATCCCCTACAAAGAGGGGACTTGGTTGCTCATGAGTTGACAATTAATCCTTGCTTTTCCTCTCCTTCCTTCCCAGTCTTGCATGTGCATTGTCTAGAACTTCCATTGATAATACACACAGATACTTTCTGAGAACGAGCTAATGTGTGTAGAACTGGTTAATAAGAATTGAGATTCTGGATTCAGTCTTTTGAGGGTTTATTGCTATGAAACAGTGAATAAAAGTGTTACAAAAATGCCTTGATAGGGTCCTTTTAAGGAAGTTTTTGTGTTTGAAACAGTTTTAGTAGCTGGGTGAAATAGTAACTGAATTGGCATCTGAGCTGGAATCTCGCTGTGCTTTGGGGCTGCAGTCATCTGCTTGGCTGGTAAGTGGTACATTGACTTTTTTTTTTTTTCTTGTACGTTTGCACTGTATATAAATAAAAGTATCCCTGCCAAGCTAAGAATGGCAAATCCTTTCTTGGAGTGACCAACAAGAATAGTTTGCCACTTGAAGATTGAGATCTCAGTTAGGTTGTTGCAGGCCCTATGAAATGCTGTCATTTTGTATGTGGTGTTCTTTTAGCCCCTGGACTGAAAGGCTTTTTAGGTTATTCATGTCCCATAAGTTATTAAATGACTTGGCACTGGGGGGTGGAGGTGTTTTGCCATCTGTCTGGTAGTAGACATGTGCTTTGTTTGGACAAACGTGACTGGATTTTCCAAGCTTGCCTTTGTGTGCACCTGCTAACTCCTCTGCTGTTGTCTCCTCTTGTCCTGCCCTAGGCTGAGTCAGGGTAGTTTCTGACTCTGCCAGGCTATGGTCTGCTCAAGATGTCCAGATAGCTGATGTGTGATCTTTTTGGGGTGGAAGGGATTGTGTCTGACCAGTAGTTTTCCTTTATTCCTGCCTGTGAAGTTACCTGTATGAATGCAGAGATAAGGAAGCCAGGGGCTATGCTCATTGCAGAAAATGAGCAAAATGCTGTCACAAACAAGATGACTGGGGTTTTCACAGATTAAAAATGTGATAGATAGAAAGCCACAGGCACAAGATACTGTGTGGGAGCCAAGCAGCCCCTCTCCAGAAAGATGCTGCAAAGATGTTGGGAAGCTTTTGAGAGATGCTGGATGACTGGAAAGAGCCTGTGGAGCGGAGGTGCACATCTCCTGTCTGCCTTGCTGCCTCCTGTGTAAGGTATCAGAACAGGGGAGGAGATCAAGAGTCTCTTCTGCCTATCTACCGCATCAAAGGTGAGGAGAAGCAAGGATTATGTGTCAGTCACCCTCAGGGGTACAGATGGAGGTATCATAACATAGTTCCCCTGTGAGACTTGTGTCATGGCCAGAGCACGGCTAATTTTAGGCCACCTTATCCATATGATTTGAAGTGAACCACATTCACCATCCCTGTGTTTGAGTCAAAAGCAAGCATGATCTCCTTTGGTGGCTGGGGTGGAGTCAGAAGAGAAAGAGGTGAAATAATCCATGATGTGTCATGCTGTCAAGTCCCGTGCAAGCTGAGGAGGGAGGGAGCAGGTGGGACTGGTTTTGTCAGAAAGGCTCAGAAGTTGCTCCAAAATCTGAGCTGACTCTCAGTGAAAGGATGATGTCAGGTATCTAATTGTTCTTTGTAATTAAGCTATAAGCACCTGGCGTTTTATTTGTAGACAATTGTAGTAGAGCAAGACCTGATTGTTCTAGAGCCTGATGCTAGCATTTGGCAGCCTTTTATTTTCCCCATTTGAGGGTGGAGTCTTTTTTGCCTGACTTTCCAAGTAGATCCTGTAGCAGTTTTGGGACTGTTGTCACACTCTCCTGAAGGTTGTGGCTTCAGCAGAGTACTGTGGAGTAATCAGAGACCATAGGGTGAGATATCAGCACAGTGGGAACACTGGTAGTGGATGATCTTGGTGGCAGGAGAAAGCTGAACAAGGCTCTTTGATTCAGGAAGAGGAGAGAACACATCAGTTGCTGAATCTGAGGAAGCTCTAGCACTGATTATTTAGCTTGCCAACAAGAGCTGATTTCTGTGCCACTGAAATGACAGCCTTAAGTGGTGTGACTTGCTATATGTGATGGTGTAGAAACACAGTCTGTTTGTCACCAAGGATTTTTAGA